AAAAAAAAAGAATATAAAGAAGTTAATTCGACACATTGACCCCAGAGAAAGTCATCGCCAAACAAGTAAACAGTTAGAAGAATAAAGAAAAAAACAACAACTTATCAACGATTAAAATAAAATAAAAAACATTCCCAATTCAACGAGGGAGCGATCAAAAGAAAGAGAGTATATATTATCAACACTTCATTACCTCTTGTTATTAATTATCAGCGTAGTGATCAACATAATACTGAAACGCAGAATCAAACGAATCAAATATTCTTGTCTCATCGTACAGCATGAGATTAAAGGGAAGACCAAAGTCTTCAACCGTCAACCCAGCTGTGTCTGCTGTACCACCGTACTTCTCAGCCATTGTCCTGGTATCTGACGTAAATGTTACCACCTTTTTACCCAAGGCGGAAGCGTAACCCACTTCAAAGGCCGTACCACAGTCTGGCTCATGTGAGCGAAATGGTGAAAGATCCGCAATAACAGCGTCTGCTTCAATTATCATATCAATATTTTTTTTTCGAATCTCAACGGCCCCACTAGCCACACTATCGATAGGAATAAGCGGTATTACGTTGTGCTTCTTAAGAAGCTCACGAACATGATTGTAGTAAGCAGCACCCATGTCAGGGTTGAACACTGCTGGTCCAGCAATGTAAACCTTCTTTGCGCTCGTCATGTTCCTTTTTCTTGTAATTTCTTCTCGATACTTCTTGCCTTGTCACCTCTTCTTTTTGTCAAAAATGAGAAAGTGAAGGGGGGAGGGAAAAGCAACGACAAATAAACCTTCAGTATTATGTCCAACAGTTGAGATGCCGTTATGAAAGTAAAATCTTACCCTTAACAATAAAATAATAAAAAATAAAGCCTGGCTACACCAAAAGTTGTGAGGAGTTGTAAAAAAGTTTTCTGTGTACAATGTGACGACGTTGTGGTGCACCAGAATAGAGAAGGTTGTGATCACAGTGAATCCAAATATCATGTTGTGATGTTGGAAATCCTCTCAATTGAGGATTTAGAGTTGTGGTGGTACAACGGTTTCCCTTGATATCCATATCAAGGTTCATTTGTCGCCAGGTTAGGCAGCGTGTGCCAAACAAAATTATAGGGCTTTTCAATGACTGAAGAAGGGCCCAACGTGGGATTGAGTGCAAAATATTTTTCTGATATTCATCATCTGTTTGAGTAAAATGAACAAGATCAACAGGCTCTAGATCGTAGACTCTGTGAGGCTCTTCTCCAGGAGAAACAGCAATACCTTGAAGGTTGCAAATCTCATCATGTGGTATCCATTTTAAAGAAATATAACCAAACTGAGACCATAATGTAGAGAGAGCGCTAGAGATGGTGTGTGAAAACGGTTTACCAGTAATAAGGTGTGTGTGTTGAAGTGCTTCATCAATAAGAAAAGGGTTAGAGGTCTCCTGGGCGTTGAAAAGGGATATTGTACGTGATGGAGATGATGGAAGTGCCACCTTTGCGTCGACAAGCAGTGTCTCATTAGACATCCCTTCCCCACAGGCAAACAGTGAAGCGTAAAAGTATTCTTCCAAGGTAGCTGGAGTCCAAGTGAGTGACGTAGAGGAGGAACCCGCCGTTGTCAACAACAACCATTTGTCATCCCTATTAACAGGAGGTGATTGTATAGATAATAGTCTTCGCCTTTCGTTTGAAGAATACTCACTGATACAGAAAATGCTGCGACCTTTAAAACCTTCTGCATCAATGGTGACTCCACCACGACACTGTATCCGGTAGTAATCTCTTACTTGAGCCTTGGAGAGCCACAATGTACTTTGTGCGTGAATGCTATCTTGATGTCTCTGCAATATCTGCTGAACCTCTGCAGAGTTAATGCGTTGTCTAGTCAGTGCCCACCGCATCAACACCTTAAATAAAACAAGAAATGCAAGTTTAACATGTCATGAAGTAAGAAGAGAAATATAATTAAATATTCCAAAAGAAAAAAATAATGATAATCGGAGTTAACGAAAAAAGAGAGAGTGGTTACTGGCGTACGCACAAATGTTTCAAGAGTGTTTCCTCTCTACCAGCGTATGAATTTAAGATAACGTCAATGGAACCTTGAAGGTCGGGCCGCCTGGATAAAACAAGTGATACCACTTTACTTTGGAGTAATTTAGTATATGGAGCATCGTTGTTTGCCCACTCCGGATTTCGTAGAGACAACCGGGGACAAATACTACAAAAATCAGAGATGCGGCATACACCAATTTCCACGTTAAGGACTCCCACCCACTTGGGCCTCTCACGCTGGCTGAGACCTACCAAAGAAGAAAAGTAGTAAAAAGACCTTTTGTGGCTTCCAGGAAGCCTGACTTCAAGCCACGTTGAAGGTGATCGCACAGTCAACCCAAGAATATCAAGGGTAATCAGTTCCAGGTACTCCACTTCATGCCCATCATGTAAAAAGCAAATGACTGGTGTCGCAGGTGCCAAATGGGGGAGATGCGTATGCAGGTATCCGTACACGGACTCATACATGAGGCCACGACCCAAGTTATACTTCATAGATATGGCAGTGTACAGCTCGCCTAGATTGCTACGGAAACGATGTAAAAGATCACTACCACTCACTGTCGTTGGACGCACAAGAACAAAAAATTGATGTAGCAATCTTTCATGAATGATTAATTCCTCTTCAGTAGGTAAAGCGTGAACAGGAACCCTAATATCCGAATTGGCATTCAATTCGGTATTGGTACTTGTAGATAAATTATTTTCTCCTTTAAGAGCCAATGCCCGCACGGATTCTTCAATCTTTCCCTGAAGGGTCATTATTGCCATAACACTTGCTTGCACATTTGCGTGCATTTTTTGACGCACTACTGTTAACTCATCCGATAGTTTTTCGTTAAGATCTTGTACTGACTTTAAAGACACAACTTCATATTTGTGTTCGTTTGCTTGTTGCTGCATAGCACTTATGCTTTTTTCAATTGCAGACTGCTGCTCAAGCTGCCGCGTCATGACATCCTGCATTTCCAATAACCGCTCCCGCTCAAACTTTATTTGATCATTCATAAAATCAGTCTTATTATTCTTTAGCAATAATACCGTCTCCTGTCGTAGTTTATCTACCTCATTCACCAAAGAATGCAATATTACATCCTCGCACTTCGGTNGTGAGTGATTGAAAGAAAAAAAAGAGGAAAGCTCATGGAGCCACACGCACCCATTCTTTCATATATTTTTTTTCCTACCCAGGCACCCCAGCAG